TCTGAGAGGCTTTAATTACACTGTAATTGCACTGATAGATGATCTCCTGTCTACGCAGGCACTTCCCATTTCTGCTTTCCAAAGGATTTCAACCTTTTTATATTAAATGCAGGCACAGTCACTGCCCTTTGTGCTGGACCTGAAGTCACAGATTTGAGGGGGTTTTGAGGGGGTTTGAGGGGGTTTGCATTTTTGAGTGGCAGAGCTGTGCCTGGCAGCCTGGCCTGTGCTGGGGGGTCTGTGACAGCACTGAGGAACAGCTGAGAGCTGGCTGCTGTTGTGAACCAGTGGCATTTCATGGAGTTCATGCTCCTAAAGACATGTCCAGGGAAGCTGTGGCTGCCCCATCCCTGGAAGTGTCCAGGGCCAGGTTGGAGCCACCAGGGATTGTGGAAGGTGTTCCTGCCCATGGCAGGGGGGGGGCTCTGGGTGATCTTCACAGTCCCTTCCAACCCAAACCATTCCATGGTTCTTTAATTTGGATGCTGTTCCCAAGGTGTTGCAGTTCTGAGGATTGAATGTAGAATATTTGTGATATCAACCCCCTCAAGGGATTTAGATTATTTCTATTCATCCTGCCACTGGATGCAGCACAGGGCAGCTCTGGCCTGGCCTGGCACCATCTGATGTTGGGGACCCTTCTCCTGACACAGAGAGAGCTTTGTCCATGGTGGGGATGGGGAAGTGGCCCAGAGTGAAGATCAGCAGGAGGGGAAGGGGGAAAGTGCTGCCCATTCACCTTCACAGCTCTGGGCTCTTCCCCAGCATCCAAGTCCAGGTGTCATTCAGAGTTCTCTGTATATCCCACATTTCCCTAAGCAGCTCATTCCCAGTCAGATGGGAGCCAGGATTTAGCTGATCAGGACAGTCACACACACAGCAAGTTCTGAGAGCTGCCAAGAGTCCAGCTCTCAGAAACTTGGAAACCTTCTCACCTTCCATGCAGAGAGGATTTCCAGGAGAAAGTCAAAAAAAGTGAATATGGAAATATCTTTTATCTCCTAAAATTGTACACCTTATTATGTGTCACCTTTCTGTCCTTAAGGAAAGGAGAACAAGTGTCATTGGGATGGGCTGAGTTGAAAAGAATGATCTCTACAACTCCCTGACAGGAGGGTGCAGCCAGGTGGGGGTTGGGCTCTGCTCCCAGGGAGCAAGTGACAGGAGAAGAGGAAACGGCCTCAAATTGTGCCAGGAGAGGTTTAGATTGGATATCAGGAAAACTTCTTTTACTGAAAGGGTTTTCCCAGCCCTGGCAGGCACAGCTTCCCAGGGCAGTGGTGGAGTCACCATCCCTGGAATTGTTGAAAAACGTGTGGATGTGGGACTTGGGGACATGGGTTTGTGGTGAACTGATGGTGGTGCTGGGTCAGCAGTTGAATTTGATGATCTCAAAGGTCTTTTCCAACCTTAAATGGTTCTGTGAGTCTCTGGATTGCTGTGGCAGAGGAAAGTGCTCAGTGGTGCTGACCTGGGAGATGAGCTTGCACAGAATGGAGCTGTGGCATCATCATTGTGGAATCATCATGGAATGGTTTGGGTTGGAAGGGACCTCAAAGCTCATCTCAGAATCATGGAGTATCCTGAGTTGGAAGGGACCCCCAAGGATCATTGATCCAACTTCTGGCCCTGCACAGACACCCAACAATCCCACCCTGTGCATCCCTGAGAGCATTGTCCCAATGCTCCTGGAGCTCCTTAGGCCCTGACCATTCCCTGGGAGCTGTGCAGTGCCTGCTGACCTTCCACTAGAGCAGGCTGCTCCAAGGCCATCCAGCATGGCCTTGGGGAAACTGTGGCCATGGTGCTCCTTCCTCACCTGAGCCCCTGCTCTGAGAGGAGCTGGATGAGGAGAACCCTGCCCTGGAGCTGGGCTGGGAGCTGGGCTGGGCTGGGCTGGGGCTGGGCTGGGAGCTGGGCTGGGAGCTGGACTGAAGCTGGGGCTGCCCTGGGAGCTGGGCTGGGGCTGGGCTGGGCTGGGGCTGGGCTGGGGCTGGGCTGGGCTGGGGCTGGGAGCTGCCCTGGGAGCTGCCCTGGGAGCTGGGCAGTGCTCCCTGTGTGCTGGAGGAGCCAGCCAAGGCTCGGGGTGAGCAGGTCCTGACACAGCTGGGGAGCGCTGCAGTCGCTGGGAGGAAGGAGATGGTGCAGGAACGGATGGTGCCCACACATCCTCCTGGTTCTCCCACACTCCTCACACCCATCCCGGCTCCTGGGCTGCTGCCAGGAGAGTGGGCAGTGCCAGGATGCTGCCAGTTCCTTGTGGGTGCTTGGCTCAGTTTTTACTCTCTATTCCCACCCCAAGGACAGCTCTCCTGGAGAAATCACAGCCTGGTGCTGCTGATGTCATCCTTAGGAAAGCAGGGAAACCTTCCTGCCCAAATCCAGTGGCTTGTGGCTCTGCTTTCCAAGGCCTCCCTCTCTTGGCCCATTTACAGCTCACACTCATCCCTGGGCTGGTCCATGGTGCTGCAAAGCTTCAGGTTGTGTCAGGACTAGCTAGGACAGCCACAGATGATCCTGTTCCCTCAGCATTACAGGAGGGAAATGGCAATTTGGGGCCTTTCATATTATCCTGAGATTGGGTAAGTGACCTCAGCCCATAGAAATAAGGCTGAATAGACAAATCATAGAAAATAAGGCTGAGGGGGACCTTGGGAGTGCACCTAATTCACCTCCTGTTTGAGGATACCTCTGCCTGTATCTTCCTTCTGCAGGCTCTTCTCCCCACTGATGGATGTTCCCTCCTTCCCACAGGCATTCTGTTCCCACTCCTTGTTTTCCTGAAGCTTGGTTTGAATTTTTATACTGTGGTTAAAGCCATGACTTCTTTGTCCTAAAGCTGAATGTTTGCATTTCCTTATATCTATCCCTTAAATACACAGAATCTCCCACCAGGGGGGTTCTGTGCCTCCTTGGTCTTTCTAGGCTAAACCAACAATTCCTCTGAGTCACATTTGCTGGATTTTTGATCTTTCTTGTTCTTTCTTGCCCTGACTCACATTCCCACTTGAACTGCAGTGCCCTGGCTGCATGAGATGCTCATAGAACTAGAAATGTGTTGGGTTTTTTGTCTTGCAATTTTCCTGTTCCTGTGCCCTTTCCTAGAAAAACATGGAAACATGGATTTCCCTCACATCAGCTGGAGCTCCTGGATCTCTTTAGCACCAGGGTCAAATCAGTTTTTCATTCTTTATTAACCAACCACTTCTGCTAAATATGGAACTTTGCATTTGTTCTCATAAATTAATCCCTTAAATTAATCCTTTGTTTTCCCTCAGACTGTTCCTCCCCTTTGTGACCACTGTGGGTTCTTGAGGCCATCCAGGAGTGCTGGAACAGAACAGGCTCCTCTGGAGAATTCCTGGGCTTTCCCTTTTGGGATCCCTCAGGTTCCTCAGGGCAGTGTTAGAGGTGGTTTCACAGCCATTTTCTTCATCTGGTCCTGACTGCTGAAAGGTCACTGCTGGTTATCAGCTGTGGTTATCAGAGGTGATGTTTTGTCACGTTAAGATGTCACCCAGGCTGTTTTTCTCCTTTTATCCCTATGTCAGAGCTGCCTTTGGAATGCTGCAGTTTGTGTGTATCTGTGATGTCCTCTGAAGGTCTCTGGCTGTACTGGGACCTTCTGAGTTCACTGGGATCCTCGTGGAGTTCTCTCTGAGGCTGAGGCTGGGCTCTGCCAGCCTGCAGGATGTGCCACTCCTTTTGCAAGGGCTACTTAAAAATTTTTATTTATTAATGTTGGAAGAATACAATTTGAAAAGCTATGGTGGGCTTTTTATGATGCTGTGCCAGGGGACTGTCAGGTTGGATCTCAGGGCAAGGTTCTTCCCCCAGAGGGTGCTGGCACTGCCCAGGCTCCCCAGGGAATGGTCCCAGCCCCGAGGCTGCCAGAGCTCCAGGAGTGTTTGGACAGCACTGCCAGGGATGGACAGGCTGGGATTGCTGGGGTGTCTGTGCAGGAGTTGGACTGGATGAGCCTTGGGGTCTAACTCAGGATGTTTTGTGCTTCTCTGATTATTAATTGCTTTTCACATACCAGCAGAGTTAGAAGTGGGATAGCAAAGGCCAGCCATGAAGAGGAAGAAATTAATGAACTCCAAAAGCCATAAACATAAGTGTAAAGGCTTTGTAGCCACCCCTCTCAGGCTGGTGCTGGTTACAGGTCATACTGGCCTGAACAAAAACTACCTTTAATCTCATGAAAATTAAAGTAAATGTCAAAATGCTCCAACAGAGCATTTATGGGGCTTATCTCAGGTTGCAGGAGGGCTGGCAGGGAAAGAAGTGTGACCCCGTGGGACTCACCTGGACATCCAGGGTCAGCCCCAGCAGCACAGGGCAGGATCTCTGCAGGGTGGAATAAAGACACCCATCCCCATTTTACCTTCCCTTCCCCCTGCACGTCCCAGATGCAGCAGAAAGAGGAACCCACGTGCTGGTGGCCTGTGTTTGTTCTGAGGAGGGGGTGGGCTGGGGGCAGCTGGGTTTGGGGCTCCATCATTTCCATCGTTCAGCCGTGTTGGAATTGGGAGTGTTTGACTTGCTCAGCACAGATGGAGTGACCAGGCTGCTTTTGGAGGTGATGCAGGCAGAGGTGATATCCAACAGGGCAGTGAATCCCATGAATTGCCCGGGTTTGATGTCTTGCCTGAGGACTGATGTTGTTACCCTCGCAGTAGGGGAGGAGGGGGATGTGGTGCTGGGCGGGTGCACAGCAAAGGCCAGTGGGGCTCCCCTCCAGGAGTAAGGGGTCAGGGCAGAGTGTGAAGGAGGGGAACACTGAATCACAGAGTCAGCCAGGGTGGATTCACCTTTGAGATCACTGAGTCCAACCTATGACCTAACACCTCCGTGTCACCCCGACCGTGTCCAAGCTTTCCTTGAACCCTGTCACTGTCACTTCTGTTTTAACCTTCTGATTCCCGCTGAGCAGCCAGACCCCCCGGGCCGTGTCTGCAGTGCTCTGCAGGGGTGACACTGCTGTGCTCTGTCCCCAGGAGCCCTACTACGTGCGCTGCATCAAGCCCAACGACAAGAAGTCACCGCAGGTGTTCGATGAGGAGCGGTGCCGGCACCAGGTCGAGTACCTGGGGCTGCTGGAGAACGTGCGCGTGCGCCGCGCCGGCTTCGCCTACCGCCAGACCTACGAGAAATTCCTGCACAGGTGAGGGCTGCCAGGCACTGCCCAGCTCCTTCAAATCAGCTTCTGGATGAGCTGAAACACATCCCACTGGACCGTGGCTGCTCTGGTTCAGCTGTGCTGAGGTGCTTGTGCTGCTCATGCTCGGCTCGTTGTCTGCTGAAACGCACTGGCTGTGTTACTCTGAAGCAGGAATGTGGAATGAGGAGCTTCCCCCAAGGATCGCCCTAAAACCTGAGCTAATTAACTTGTGTTTTCTCTCTGAATTGTCTAATTGTTGCAGCAAGACATAGTGTGTCTGGGGGAGCATGTGATGTTTCACGGTGACATTGTGTGGGAAAAACCCCTGGACTTTAAAACTGGACGTCTGAAAAGGGGGGATGGTTTCATGACCTCATTAAATGTGGTTTTGATTCTTCTTGCCCTCTTAATTCCTACCAGACTTGTGACAAATGACACGTTTTAGATTGAAATTTATCTTATGGCTTCACTAAATTAACGTGGGTCCTGCAAGTTCAACCCTGCTCTGATGGAACAGTGGAGTTTTTATTCTGTTATTGAATCAGGTGAGAAAAGGCCTGTGAGAATAGAAAAAAATTAAACTATCCAAGCAGGTGGAATGTCATGAGTTAGAAACAAAGTGCTGGTGAAAGATGTTTTGCTGTTCACAGTGGAGATTTGCCTGGATATATCATAATACCCAAGGTGGAATGAAAGGATATGGCTTCCTAAATCCAGTCTGCAGCGCTGGGAATCAGTTTCCTGAACCATTCTGCAGTGGATAGAGTGTATTTTCACCTCATATGTGGAATTCATTACAATTTACTCTTAAGATTTGTGTAATCACTATTAATATAAACAGCTGCTTTGTTTTTAATGAATGTTTGATGAGCTCCCCTGAGCTCCAGCCCCACAGTGTTTGCAGCCAGGAAACCAAATCAGCACATGGCAACTGCTTCAGCTTTTGGGCTGCTGGAGCAGGAGACCTGCCCAGCCCTGCAGTGGGACATCCAGAGTGAGGGATCAGACACTGTTTGTGTGTGTGGTGTTGCTCCAAGCCTGGGCTGTAATGGCTTTAAAGGAGAAAAAGAAAGCCAGAAAAATAACTTCTCTTTCTGTAGGAGAAGAGTTTGTTGATATTTACCCCTAAATCCTGTAAGGTAGTTGGTATCTCCTCTCTCTCAATAGGGAATGAAGTGAAGCACAGTTAAGACCATTATAAATGTCTTTCTCAAGCTTTCCTTGGATAAAGAAAACCTTCCTTTGAGCTCTGTGCAAGCCAGGCTGCCCTTTCCAATTTGAAGTATTTTCTGTTGGACCAGGAGAAGTTGTCCCTTCCTGTGGTCAGAGAATTGTCCAGTTGGGTGACACACATGGCACTTAAACAGATGGGGTGCATTCTCTTGGTTTAATATATAAATTACCATCAAAAAAAAAGCTGATTGGGTTTCAGGAAGGGGTTTGTGAATGTAATCCAACCCTTTCCACACAGAGTCACCCATATGCCTATCCCAGGCCATGCCAAACATAGCATAGAATCAACACTGAGAGCTGTGAACAGCAGGCTGGGAAGGGACAGTGAGGCCCAGCTGCAGCTGCACACCCAATATTGTTATTAAATATTCAGAAAACGTCACCATTTAGTGGCTTGCAGAAATCTTGCTTCTTAGGAGAGCTGGACTGGGAAATGTTAACTCCAGGAGCAGCCTTATCCCTGCTGGGTGTTTCCACGGGGAGGTACAGAGGGGAAGGAGGAACAAAGGTGTTTGGAGGGGAGTGTTCCATGTCTCAGTGACCTTGGAGGCTGCGGGGATCCGCAGGCAGGAGAGGGGCAGGGCTGTGGTGTCAGGGAGCAGGTTTATTCCAGACTCTGGCTGGTTATAATTAGCACCAGGCCAGGACTGTGAGTGGCTGTGGCATCCAGGCCATGCCCTGTGCTGTGGGGAAGGAGTTGGTGGCATTGTGTGACACGTGTGGGGACAGCAGGAATAGGCAGACAGCTGGGATATTGCACCTGCTGTAGCTGGGAGGGATGGGAGCCATGGGCACTGGGGTGTCTTTAATGCCTGTGGGAAGGAGCAGGAGGGTTTAACATCTGGGGCAGGGTTTCAGTGCTCTGACATCCCTTCTCTCCTGAGCTCCTTGGTGGGGCAGGCTTGGCTCATAGCCTGGATCTGAACCTGATCCATAACCTGGATCCTATCCTGATCCATAGCTTTGTTCCCAGCCTGATCCATCACCTGGATCCCATCCTGATCCATAGCCTGCATCCAGCCTGATCCATAGCCTTGTTCCCAGCTCAGGGGGTTGCACTGCCACTGCTTTGTTCTTTTATATTTTCTTTTTCCTAACATTAAGTGTCTCGAGGTGAGAGATTTTTCAGTGGGTGAATTATTGCAGGAACATTTTCCTGCTGAGAACAGGGAGAAGAATCCAGTGTGCAGCATTGATGTCTCGTGTGTCCGTGTGTGTGAGAGCAGGAATGCTTCTGCCAGCACGTGCTAATCTTCTGCTGGGAGTCTGAAGGGAGGTTTTTAGGCTGTTTATTTATCATGAGATCCCTGTAACCCCCAGGGATGGTGTTCCCTGCTTGGGCACAGTGTGCCCCTCCATTCCCCCATCCTTCCACAGTTCATTCCAAAGGCTCAGGTGATGAATGAGCGCTGGGGACGTTTCCATTCAGGCTCTTGGAGGCTGTTCCGAGCCTCCTGCGGTGCTGCTCCCAGCAAAAGGGGGACTGTGAGGTGTTCAAGTGTAACTGAGAGCTGGGAGTGTCTGAAGCATTGAGATTGATGCCTGCCTTGGCTGGGAACTTTGAAGTGTGAAGTGGCTGAGCTCGCTGAGTGCTTGTTTTATTTAGAACAGGCTGCGGGCTCCATTCCAGGGAAAACGTCTATTACAGATCTTATTATATCCAGAAATCTTATGCAGAAAATTCATTGTTGCTTTTTGCAAAAGCCTGTTCCCATAATCAGCATTTCCTGGGCTGGTAAATCTTACAGAGCTCGGGCTGATCCTGGTACTTCGTGTTTGATTTGTAGATATCTTAGTTCCAGCATTTCTCTGTAGTGGAAAATGGAGTTTGGGGAGTGAGGATGGGAGGAATGGCTGACCCACAGTTACAGGCAGTGTTTGCACAGACTGGGGCAGCCAGAGCTCTGCTGCAGGGGGAAGTGACAGAGTTTGTTAGAAATTACTCCCAAAGTGATGAATGAGAAAAAATTTTTTGCAGAGTTTGTAAATCCAGGTTTTCTGACAAAGCAATTGGTTGCAGGTGGCTTCTCATGCAGAATATGAACAAAAAGTTTTCCTTCCTTACAAAAAAAAACCCAAAACAAACAAAACCCAAGCAAATAAATAAAAATTAAAATTGGATACTGAAGATGTGAAAAATGGAACAGACAAATCTGCAGGAGGCCAATGCTGAGTTTGTCCCCTTGCATCAATTCAGTGCTTATGAATTGAGCTCCTCCCAATATTATTTTGCAGCATCTCACAAAATCATGCATCTCCTTCAGCCATTTTCCTTTTATTTTGAGGATCATAATTCCTACAGAGGACATCTTCAGACTCTTCCATCTATACTCAGTTTTATTACAATTTAGTTGATCATTTTTTCTAAAACCAGTTGAAGTTTGGCCTCCTCGACCACCCTGGTGGCAAGTTCACATTTGTAAATTGTACCTTTTCATTCCAGGTACAAGATGATCTCTGAATTCACTTGGCCCAACCATGACCTGCCCTCAGACAAGGATGCTGTGAGGAAGCTCATCGAGTGCCACGGCTTCCAGCACGACGTGGCCTACGGCAAGACCAAGCTGTTCATCCGCACGCCCCGGACTCTGTTCACCCTGGAGGAGCTGCATGCCAAGATGCTCGTCAGGATCGTCCTCTTCCTGCAGAAGGTAAAGCTCCCACTGCCTCAGGAACTCAGCTCAAGTTCTTTAAACTGCCCTTGCTCTCCTTTCTGGCTCTGTGGCTGCACAGATTCCACACTTCTGCAGTTTGGTCACTGCTGGATATTTTCAGGGCTCTTTCCATGATGCTTTCTGTAGCCTTGATGTGCTGGGAGCTGTTGCACCTAAAAAGTTTTTTATAACTGTTTAAAAACTTGCTCTTTTCTCAGTGGAAGGAGGATGCCTGGGAGCTTGAGGGACTTTTATGGCTGAAATGTGGAGTCACAGATTTCCAGGCTGGTTTGGATCAGGAGGGACCTTAAAGCCCAGTCCCACCACACCGTGGCACAGGATGCCCAGAGAAGCTGTGGCTCCCCTATCCCTGGGAGTGTCCAAGGCCAGGCTGGATGGGGTCAAGTGGAGAAGTCAAGTGGAAGATGTCCCTGCTCATGGCAAGGGATGGGACTGGGGGAGCTCTCAGATTCCTTTTAACACAAACTGTCCCGAGATTCTCTGGTGTTAGCACTTGCTGAAAACTGAGCAAGATCTGTCTGGCAAAGAGCAGAAATGGTGGGGCTGACTCTGCCCTGTCAGGCAAAGTGGATTAGTTCAAGACTTTTAAAAACGAGCTTTTTGAAATGCATATCTTCTGTGAAATTCTTGGAACCTGGGAAAGAACAGACCCTCTGAACCCATTGCTGTCCCTCACAAATAGAAACTGCTGACAGATGGGTGTAAAAACTTGACAGAGCAAAAGCTCTGCAGGGAACACAGGTTTGCACAAACTCTCCAAACCTGGTGGATTGAATGGAGAAGAGCCTGAAGGAGAAGATCCCCCCTGGAAGCTCTGAGTTCTGTGGGACACTCACATTTCATTGAGTGGGATTCCCTTCCTGGAAACTCAACCAGTCTGAGCAGTATGGGAGCAGAAGGCATGGAGTCCAGGGTTGGTCTCTTGGTATTTGTTGTGCTGAATGGTTTTTCTTTAGTAGGGAATTCCGCACCTTTTGTGTGCAGTGAGTTTTTCTGGAAAGGGCAAGCTCAGGCTGTGGAGGATGCAGGCCCTGCCTTTCTCTGAGCTTTGTGGTTCAGTTTTGTTCCCTGTTCTAAGCATGTCCTGCTGCTGAGCTTCCTGGACTACTCAACATCTTCTCCTGCTTTCCTTCCTTGGAAAGGGGAGCACTTTTCCAGAAGCTCCATCTGGCTTATTCTCTTGGGCTGGCCTGGGGCTAATCTGTGGGGCCCCCATGTCCCCTGGGAGATGTTCCTGGATCTTAGCTGTGCTTCCCCCGTGCTCACCAGGGGTTCTGGGGAGGAATTTCCTGCCTGGAGCCACCTCGGTGCTTTCAGCGAGGTCACAGGGCCACAGCTCTAACCCAGAGTCTCTTTGGGGGTTGAGCTAATGAGCTCCTTGTGGAATGAAGCTGAGGGGGGACTGCTTGCTCCCAGGTGACTCCAGCTTTCATATTAAACCAGGGAGCAGTGGAGGGGTGACCTTTTTGGAAATTGCAAGGTGCAGCTACTGGAGAATAATTTGAGAGCCCCGGGCTGTGTTGCTGTGGGAGCAGATCATGGCTGGGTGAGCTCCAGGCTCCTCCTTCAGATAAATCCAGTGAGAGGCACAATTGTAACAGCAACTTGTCAGTTTTGTGAGTTTGCTGCCAGAATTATATTGCCTGGGCTGGGATCTGGAGTGGACTCAGCATTAAAGACAGCAAGGCAAAGGATTTTTTTGCCCCTGGAAGGTAAATACCTGCTTAGGTGTAATGGATCAACTCCATTGCTCCATGAAGGGTTTTGCTGCAGTGGGTTTGTGTAGCATCAGGTGGAGAATAACTGTGGTGCTTCTGGGGGTTTCCTGGTTGCCACAGTCGGCAAAAGTGATAGAAATTAAAATGCTGGTGCACGTTGTCCTTGGCTTCACAAACCTGCCCTGTGTCCTGCTCTCCCTGGGGTGGGGAGGGACCAACATGAATCTGCCTGAAGACTGAAGCAGGACATGGAGGCATCTTTTTGTTGTTTTTCTCTGAGATATCTTCAGGGAGTTCTAACCTCATAAAGAATTTGTGGGGAAAAGACAAACTCCTTCTTCAGTGCTCAAGGTACTGAGGACTCTGGAGAAATCTGGATGTCCTCCTAGAGCTCCTTTCCTGTAGCTGAACCCTCACTGCTTTCACTCACCGGAGGTTCTTCAACCTGAAGACTCTCAAATGCTGGCAAGGGGATGCAGAGAAGCTTTTCAGAGTCCTGGAACTTGCAACTAAACCAAGAAACACTCAATGAATCATTAAATGCTTATTAAACAGCCCATCAGCTAAAGAGCAGGTGTTGAGCTGGTATCTATAGGTATGGATTAGAGACCTTGTACAATGTTAAATCTACCTGGAAAAAGCTTGGCTTTGTCTCCATTTTCAGTGTTTCTCTTGTTTCTTGTTAACTCTGCTCCCAGCCCTGGCTGGGTCCCTCCCGTGCTCTGCTGCCGGCAGATGGGGCCGGTGGAGTCGGGCAGTGCTGGAAAAGGTACAGTCAAAACAATCACAAATCAAACCAGAGCAGGGATCTGATGAGGCCTTCTCTGAGCTCTGAAAGCATCAAGGCAATTTTGCCTGTCATTTCTGTTCTCAACTTGCTTTCAATTGTTCATTAACAACTCACAGGAAAATTTAATTCTTGCTCTATTTTTTCCTTCTGTAGTTTTGCCTGTGAGCATCAAAGGCTGATGGATGCAAACTGTGAGCACATCTAGAAGGATCTGGTTTTCTTTTAAATAACTGAGCCTTCTGTTACACTGGAGTTCCTCAAATTTGAATTTAGAAAAAGGGAAAGACAAGAGGAGATGAAATGTGGTGTTGTGACAGTGGGCACTTGTGTGACACAAGCTGAGGCAGGTGTGAGGAGCAGCCTTAGAGCAGCTGATCCCAGCCTGGGGCCCAGGGGTGTTTTCCCCTGCACAGGAATGAGTGTAAGTGAAAGAATCCACATTTAGCAGCTCTTTTTCTAATGATGTGTATTCTGTGCCTTATTGCTCTCCTGCAAATCAGAAGCTTTCCAGAAGGGACTCAGTAATTATCTGGAGAGTTTCATCATCCAGTGACCCTTAACCCTTCAAACAGTGCTGCCGCCTTTGTCTAATGGTACTTATGAATTTGGTTAAATTGAATTAAAAGTGACTTCTAATTTAAATAGATAATTTTACTTTCTTTTGTTCCACATGTCTGGGATGTCTTCACCTTTAGATTTATCTTTCACGCTCCTTTTTTTTTCCGTGGTAAAATGTCAGTGAGATTCCAGGCTGTAATTTTCCTTCTGCCCCAACGTAGTCAGTGAGCAGATGTGATGTGATTTAACCGTGGCAACTTGCTGGCTCCAGGAGAATTCAGCAAGTGAGAGCTGTGTCCAGTGTCACAAACCCCATATGGCAGCAGGGATGTCACACCAAAAGGTCACTCAGAAGCCCCAGCTGAGGTCACTTCATGTGGTGCTTTAGGGTTTATTTGCTGTACCTGTGCTCTTGCCAGCTCTGTGATTGTCACCCTGAATGCAAATGGAGCAGCTCTAGTGTTAATCATGCAAATAAAAATAAAAAAAAAAAGCTGCCATGAAGCTCTGCTGCTTTTGCTGCCCTTGGAAAGGCTCCCACAGGCTCATTAGCTGTGCAGAGCAGAGCTTTGTTCAGGGAAGAAAGCCCGGGCAGGCGGCACGTGCGGGCTGTGCAGATGATGGCTGCTGTCACTATAATTTACTGCACTATTTCCGTGTCATTTTATCAGGCCGGCACAGCTGCGGATGGAAATCGCTCCCGAAATCTTCCTGCCTGGCACGGAGGCGGCAGGAATGTCCTTGAGTGCCACCCGGCCCCTCCTGGGACACAGCCCAGGGCAGCGGGGGGAGCCCGGGGGCAGCGGGGCTGGGAGGGGCAGAGCCGGCCCTGGGACATGGCCGGGCCATCCCGAGGTGTCCTTGGGCATCCCGGCACGGCCCTGGAGCCCCGATGGGCTCCGCAGAGGCTCGGGATCACCATGGCAACATTCCCCAGCCCGGGGAGAGCAGCCCAGAGCCGTGGCTGATGTGTCATCATTCCATGTCAGCATTCCGTGTTTGTGTTTCACCTTCTGCTCCAGCCCCACGAGCCCTGGGAGCTCAGGACACGGGGAAGCTCCTCCGTGGACACAGGAGGTGTTTCCTGTCAGGTTATGGAGGGACAGAAGCAATCCAGGGGGGGCTTGGGCCAGTGACCCAGATAAAAGGATGCAGTGGATTTGCCTCTGCACTCCAGGCTTTGTCCATCCCAAGGCAGTTTGTGCGTGCTGGCTATCAGCGGGAACAGCTCTATAATGACACGTGGATTTGTATTCTGGAGCCAGGCTTTGATCTGGAGAGGCTCTGGCAGGGAGGAGCTGTGTCAGGAGAAGCTGTGGCTCCTTCCCGAGGAGCAGGGGCTGGGAGCTGCCAGGACCAGGTGGAGGGAAGGAGGAAGAGCTGGCTCTGTCCCCTGCACTAACACTGACTGATCTGATGCCACAGCTCCTCCTGTGCTGCTCCCCTTCCCTGGGCCAGGAGCATCCCTGTCTGCTTCCAGTGAAGGCATTGAGGCAAAAAATCCACCCTGCCCACCCCAGAAAATGCCAAAGCATTTTAAAAATGCTTTGCCTCTTACCAGAAAGCAAAATAAGAGAGGGAATTTTCTGTCAGTTGAGCCCCACAGCAGCTCAGCTGCCTTTAGAAGAATGGTCATGCTGGTGAGAACTGGGGACTTGCCTGTGGGGGAAAAGCAGGAGAGCTGGATCCTGCCCTTTCAGTAGCAGGTGCCTGGAGATACCTGGATACCTTCTTGATGTCCTTCTGTTCCAGGAAATGCTGTGGAAACACTCTGTAACCTAAACAAGTGTAAATATCCCATTATTGCTGAGCAAGAGGGGAGGAGGGAGGGTGCTGTGAGTGTGCACTGTGTAAAATACAGTCCAGCAGAGAATGGAGAGCAGGGAAACAGCCTGTTCCAGGGTCTGGTG